TAAGGTTTTAGGGTCTAGGGTTGAGGGTTTAGGGTGGTTTTAGGATCAACCCTTAAAACTTTGAGCCCTGCGACCGAAGAAGGCCAGGGCTCCAGTTAAGTATGTACACAGTAGGTCACTCGCCCTATAGTATGGCAACTGGAGCCCTATAGGGCTAAACTAGCAGAGCCCATCTATAACATGGTACCTGTAGGGAAGTAGGGTATAGCTTAAGCAACCGAAACCCATGTTCTGAAGGGAAGGCCAGAATTTCCTGGGCCAGGCGTCGTGGCCTTCGGCCGCTGCTTGCGAGCGAGACGGACGGAGGTCTTGCGCAAAGCCGAGGCCCCCAAAGCCAGAAACCCTAAACCCTAAACCCCTAAACCCCTAAACCCCTAAACCCCTAAACCCTAAACCCTAATCCCCATAGACCTGGAGCCCAGGATGCCCTCGGGATCCCTTGGGTTATAGAGCTTGTTCCGTTGGTATGATTCAATTGAAGGGCTTCGCAGCTATCTGTGTTGGCGGTTTTTGGTTTCGAGCTTGTGGAGCCGTTCAATCTGCCAGATCCAATGGCTTCTATTCGTTTCCAATGTAGGGGCTTAAACACTTACCAACACTATTTTGGGTGTTCCTTACTATAATTATACATATAATTGTAGTACAATGGGCCGCAAAACCCTATTCTAACTATTAAGGCCCCTACATTATTGCCAAGCTCTCCTCTTATTTCTGCCGTTCTGGAAATTCGAGCAGAAATCGATGCATCCCTCCAGGGCTGCACGGTTCATGTAAAGCCTGCACCCAAAGACACTTGGGGGTTTCTGAAAATAGGAGACCCCAATATAGTACCCCAAATAGTAGGATCCTCATTATAAGGACACCAAAATAAGGTACCCCTTATTTTTGGAAACTCCCACTTGGGCCCGGTAAATTTTGACCCCATGAAACAAATCAGCCCTCAAGCCCTCAACCCCGTGGCGCAAGTAAATTATGGGGCGTCCGACTGTGAAGGTGTCTCAAGACAAGGCAACGAGGATCCTACCATTTGGGGCTTATGTTTGGGCCCTCAGTTTCTAGATTCTAAATCTCCTGATATTGCCAAAGATCTTCGCCGATGGAAGGAAGAGCCGCCCCGCTGGGACCCGACTGCCCCGGTGTGGACGGCAGAGGCTCAACCCTAAGCCCCAACCTTTGTGGTTTAGGGTTTAGTTTAGGGTTTATAATCTTAAACTCTTAAACTAAGCCCTAAACCCTAAACCCTAAACACTTAAACCCCTAAACCGTAAACCCATCCCAAAACGAGAAGTGTCACAAACCCCCTAAAATCCTAAACCCTTAAAAAAACCCCAGGCCTTTGCGTCCGGGCCTCACGGTTTTGGGGTCTCGGGCTTGGGGTTCGCCTGTAGCCCTACGAAACCGTCACTTCGAGGGTTTAGGGGTTTAGGGGTTTGGGGGTTTAGGGGTTTAGGGGTTTGTTTAGGGTTTAGGGGTTTAGGGGTTTAGGGGGTTTAGCGGTTTAGGGGTTTGGGGGTTTAGGGTCAACCCTGCTGATGAGCAGAGTCTGGGTTCAAAAAGGGGACCCTTCTTCCTTCCTGCCAAAACCAAGGCGTTTGGGCTGCAGGTAGTCGGATCAATCGCATCCAGGGGGTATGCGATTTAGTTTGGGTTGTGGGCGCATGTCCCGACGCCGGAATGAGACGCCAACGTTGTGTACGGCTCAAAAGCTGCTGGGTGTTTCTTAAAGCATGTATATCCCGTTGGCTTGGTAAAAAAGAACGTATTTTTATTGTGTTTGCTGGTTGCTGCCTTTGTGGTAGCCTATGCTCCTGACCCTAGAATCCTAAACCCTAAACCCTGCAAGAGCTGGGCTTAAGTCCAGCTGGCCCGAGCAGTCGCGAAGGACCACCGTTTAGGGTTTAGGAGTTTTAGGGGTTTTAGGGGTTTAGGGTTTCAGGGGTTTAAGGGTTTAGGGCTTTAGGGTTTAGGGCTTTAGGGGTTTAGGGCTTTAGGGGTTTAGGGTTGAGGGTAAACTTATCTTAAACCCTAAGCCCTAAACCAAGAAACGCAAAAAGCACCAAAAGGCCCCAAATCCCGCAATTTGCAGGGCTTGGGGGTGTTCCTGGACCTCGAAGAACCGACCTTTACGTATAAGAAATCAGAATAAGGAACCCGAAGCAGGAAGGTTCTAGAGGGTTTTTAGGGTTTAGGAGAACCCAGAGCTGTCATGGAGCCTAAACCTTAAACCCTGAAGTTTGCACCCCGGAGTCCCAAATTCAGAATCGGATTTTGAGCTCTCAAGCTCCTGTACCCTGAAGCTCAACCCTCAACCCTCAACAACCCTAAACCCAAAGCCCTAAACTCTAAGCCCTAAAACCCTAAAGCCCTAAAGCCCTAAACCCTAAGCCTAAGACGCGGAAGCCCGGAAGGACTTGGAGGACACAGCGACCGGTCCTGCAGAAGGCAGCACACACACGCACACGCCTCTCGCCTCAGTTCAGCATTTGGGGTTTGGGGTTTAGTTGTTTGGGGGTTTAGGGTTTAGGGTTTTCCGTAGTTGCTTTAAGCAGTTTGTTTACGGGGCTTCCAGGTTCTAGGGCTCAGGCGCATCGTCCAACGGAGCAGATACCATGACTTGCACAATTTAGGGTGCTGAAGTTGATGCATTGACTTTGCTGATTTGGGTTCGGCTGGGGCAAGTTTAGGGCTTAGTGGGATCAGGGTTACGGAGTTCAAGGTCTTTAAGTCTTAGGCTTTAGGGTTCAGGTTTCATTAGGGCTTCGGGGTTCGCAGCTTTTCGGGCTTCTCAGAGTTTCCAGAGTTTCGAGGCCGTGTTAAGGGTTCAGGGTTTGTGAGGCTTCTAAGGTTTCGGATGTCCATATATATATATATATATATACTATACTGGACAGGATATTACTTGTAGGGTTTCGGGTTTACTGACGCATCACTACATCTAGGGTTCGTAGTGTTTAGGTTTCCAGGGCTGTCTTCATGCCCGACATCTTTTCGTCTCCACCCGTGCCGTGCTGGTCGCTGAGGCTGGTGTACTTGCACGCTTTCGGGCGCTGCTGCTGCCTCAGCAATGGCGATGGTTCAAGTCGTGCCTCTGTTTGCCATGTTTCGCTGCGAGCTGCTATTCCCCTTGAAGCTTTCTTTTCGATTTTTCCGATTGCCCAGACTGAATACAGACCACACGGCGAAGCTGCGACGTGGGTTGCAAAGTCAGTGAGTCTATGTCAATCCCGAACACAAAACTTGAAAGCTTAAGTCCTATCATATAGGGGCCTAAATTACCAATACTGTTTTGGTGGCCCCTTATTAAAAGTATAGTATAATGGGCCCCAAAACTTCCAAAACCCTATTCTATTTATAAAGGCCCCTATATTAGACCCTACAGGCAACAAGCCCAGAACCCTACATCCCTTCCTTGTCTGCCTTGCGCGAGTGCGCGCGTCGAAACCCCTTGTCGGCTTGATGAGTTTCCACCGGCCAGTGGACATGTGCGCCGCGTGACGAAACGACCCCAAACTTAGTTCCCCAACACCCAACCTTTAAACTTTTCTTGGTTCTTGTAATTTAGTAGTTCTTGGAGGTTCATGGGTAGTTACAAGTGGAGTTATGGGTCCCTAATATAGGTTATAACGATAGTTACCCTATTTATAAGCCCACTTATAACTACCCATGAACCGCCAAGTAATCTGAAAGCTTAACCGTTTATTCACCCGGCTCATTGGGGAAGTAAGCAAAACCCACCCCAGGTGGAAAGGAGTATGTGCAGCCTTTGCTAGACCAGCTCAGTCCAGGCGCTATGTGGCGTAGGTGTTCAACTAGTTTTCGCAGGCTTCGCATACGATTCTTTATGTGTCTTCGTAAGGGTCTGAGGTCTGGCCGGGGCTTTAGTAATTAGGGCTTGCGCTATTTGTCGTTTTTTTCACAGGTTGTGGTGGGGCTTTGGGAGGGAATTTTCAGGCTTCTACAGGACAGGAAATTGAATCAGAGAAGGTTTGTACAAGGGGCGAATAGAGGCTTTGAAGTCTGTCAGTCCCAAGGGGTTTAGGGTTTAGGGTTTAGGGTCCATAGGGTTCGAGAGGCTTAGAGACTGATTTTGAGGGTTCGGGGATTCGGGTCGGGTCTAGTTTTCTCAAGTTCAACTTTGCAGCCGTAAGGGTCCCTCAAACAAGCTGTGGTATGATTTAAACAAGCTGTGGTATGATTTCAAAGCCTGCTCTCTTAACTAACAGCCGAAAAGCATGCAAACCTAACCACGAGTGTAGGGTTTTACGGTGAGAGTGGCTCTAGACCAAGCCCCAAGCCGAAGGAAACAGTGTGCCCATCTTAGACACCCCTGAGCCAAGACCCTTAGTCACAATTGATCTCAACCTGTAAGCCTCTCCAGACATGTCCCTTCTTGGAGTACCCTGGCTCGGTATGTAAGATAGTCGGCTCAGAGTTTCTGCACTGCCAATTGTCCCTGATCACTACATGGATAGAGCCAACGGTTTAGGGTGTAGGGTCTTTTAGGGTTCAGGGGGAAGTACATGAAGCCTTGCATCCGCGATCGTTTTCAGGCTTCTCCACACCCTGGACCACGGGTGCACAGCGTGCCCGTGGCCTCCGCGTGGCACTTCCCACGGCACCCAAGGTGGCGCAACCTTGGGGGCCACGGCCCTGGCTTGTCGGACATTATGCTATGTCAGTAGCACTGCTTGGGCCTGAATCGAGCGTAAGGTGCCTAGTGTTCCAGGCCGTTCACATTGGGTGGGCAATTCTGAGTGGTTAAGCTGCACACACTGCATGGCTACGATAGTACCCTAAGCCCCAAAGTATCGACTATTTAGGTACATGGACCCTTAGGGGTACAGTTGCCGCTTCTGGGAGTTGAGGAGTTGAGGGCGCCAATGCTGAGGCCCGTGGAGACGACCTGGCACGAGCCCGGGCCTCGACCTTTTACGGTTTAGGGTTTAGGGGTTTAGGGTTTACAAGTTAACAACTTACCACAGGGCAGCTCTTCTGTTTGTTATTTAATTCTAAGACCCTCCAAGGGCTATGTTGTCAGACCTTACCATGGCATGCAAGAGCCCTTGGACGAGGTATGCATCAGCGGATAGCAACCAAGTTGGCCGTGAGCTCGGATTCTCACGCCCTGAGGGTACATGTGCCCTTAAGGGTTTAAGGGTTCCTATAAGGGTACCAAAGGATTTAGGGTTCAGGTTTGAAGGTCGATGACAGCCCAACCATGCGAGTTCCTCGGGCCGTGTTTTGCGAGCTTGGTGGCGGTTTTAAGGCGGGTTTAGCTTCGGAGGTCCTGGACCAAACAAGAAGGGGCTGAACTCGGACTGAATGAAGATCTGCCTAGATATTCATATTGGGCTCGTTGGCAACGGGCAGCCTTAAATCCAACTAAACCCTAAACCCTAAACAACGAAGTAAAGTGCGAACCTCCGGCCTTGCCTGGATTGTCCGGGCTGTGGGCGCTCGGAGCGAAATCGGAAACCCGAATTTTTCCCCACCCAGAGACGCCCAAGTAAGGATTATGCTTAAGCAGGTTTGGGGTTTAGGGTCTTTGGTTAGGAATATTGAATAGCCCTCTTATACTAAACCCCACGCCCTACCTTAGGCCTTAACTCGGCCTGAACACCGCATTTGCAGACCCAGAATGGTTTGTCTTATCGGATTCCCTGTTATAAAGGGGCCATGTACTTTGATAGTAGATACTCTGGCCTTAAAGTAGTCCCAATATAGGGACCTTGGGGCCAAAGCATATACGATTTGGGTACATTTACCCCGTTTCCCTAAACCCTATAAACCCTTATGGTACCCTTAAAGGAACCCTTTAAAGGTACCCTTTCAAGGGAAGCCTTAAAGGATACCAAGCTGGGTACCTGGGACCCGTAGGGTGCGCCCTAAACCCTAAACCCTAAACCCTAAACCCTAAACCCTAAACCCTAAACCCTAAACCCTAAACCCTGAACTGCGAGACTCCCAGGGGATGGGTTGCTGCTGGCGGAGCAGCGCCAGAGACTCCGAGAGCTTCTGGAGCAGGAGGCGGGGGGTTTGGGGTTTAAGGATTATAGGGCTTTTGGGTTTAGGGTTTAGGGTGTTTAGGGTTTAGGGTTTAGGGTTAAGGGTTTAAGGATTATAGGGCTTTTGGGGGGTGTAGGGTTTAGGGGTTTGGGGTTTCAGGATTATAGGGCTTTGGAGGGTGTAGGGTTTAGGGCTTGTGGGGTTAAAGGATTAGGGTTTTGGGGGGTGTAGGGTTTAGGGCTTATGGGATTTAAGGATTAGGGTTTTGGGGGGTGTAGGGTTTAGGGCTTATTAGGAGCAGGAAGTGGCTGTTTTGATTTATTGGAGGTTTTGCGCTTGTTTGTGGTGTGTGTTCCAAGTTTTTCAGGGCTTGCATGTTTTGGGAGGTGTTTGGGGTTTTTAATTATGTAGTTGTTCAAGGATGGTTTAGGATGTTAGTGGGCTCTGGCTGCCCTTCTTAAACTGCAATAATCAATAAGCGCGGCTTCTCGCCCTCAACCCTAAATTACTAATTTACGTTGGTTGTTTAGGGCTGGATTGAGTATGCAGAATTCATGGTTCAGAGCTCGGGAAGCGGCTTGAAGAATAATTCAAAAGCCTAAATGATGTCCAATATTAGTCGCCAGGGTTCCTTATAAAATTGAGGTATAGAGGAGATTCGCGTATCTGTCTTGAAGTTACCTATCAGGAGGTCCTGGTCGTGTCGCTCTGATATATTTTCAGTTTATGGTTTGGCTTGGTGCATGGACAAGGACAATAGATGCCGTGCTGATCTGTCATGTGGAGGAGTTCATCCGGACGGTGCTCGTTGTCATTGTGTGAGTGTGTGTCGGTTTGTGCACGCTCTTGGGGTTGTAGAAGCATTCTTCAGGCGTTTCAGGTGATGGGGGTCGGAAGGCAGGCTTTGCGGTTGTTGTTTGGACGTGAGATTTGTGGCTGGACTTGACACCTTGGCAGTCCACACATGCCACGCCGAACCTGAACCCATCTCTTTAGGGTTCCTTACTAAGGTTTCCTTATGAAAAGTCCTCAAGGTAGGTTCTTTGGTCCAGGTAAACCGAAACTTTCGAAGCACCCAAACGTGTAGAGGCTCTAGAATCCCAGGAGACCCCAAACCTATCAGTTGCGCAGATCTCTTCCAGGTAGACAAGCTTGACGGCCACAGTGAGCGGGTCTTCCTGGGAGGTCTTTCGCAAGGCCTTTGGTTTCGGTTCCTTTGCAAAGGTTTTTTAGGGTTTAGCTTTTTTTCTTTCTGTGCGCGGGGTCTCGTGTCTGGGCGTGCCGGCGTGAATGACGAAGCCGGCAAGAGAGTTTGAGCGTGCAGGTCGAATGTGTTGTTTAAGTTCTCGTAGGTTTATGTGGTTGACGGGATGACATAGGTTGAAAGTCCAGGAAGCCAAAAAAATACCTCCTGAGTCCTGAGACTTGAGACGGTTTAGGGCTCAGGGTTTAGGGGATCTCATCCAGCATTGAAGTTCCTGTGGAAGCATCGCCTACACCGGGCCACGGTGGAACTGCTTGAAGACTCGAAGGGGCTCGGAAGTAGGGATGTAAACATTTTACGTCTTCTGTTACGTTTCCTTTTTGTTGTATCTAGTATTGTATAATAATTTTGATTATTACCGCCACTGTCACTAACATTACTGTTATTATTATTGTCGGTAGTAGTACTGCTATTGTCACTTGTGTTGTTAATAACTGTTGTTATTCTACTTATCAACAGATTTGACGAAGTCATGGGCCACCCAGCCTTCCAGGTTGCACCGCAGCCCTGGACATCTACCTACAAGAGGCGGTGAGCACAGAAGGGCTCGAAGGATTAGAATAGGGTTTCCGGGGTATCGTATACACTAATTATAGTAAGGAACCCCCAAAATAGTATAACAGGTAAGGACGGATGTTGTGGGTTTTCTCTGCCGCAGGGCCTGTAGTACCTCACAGTGTCCTCGCTTGATCTTGCTGCTAAAGTGGGTTCGGTATTGCCAACCCGCCCGAAGATGGCTTTCCGTCCTGGCGTTGGTTCAGCGTTCATGTTCTGGGCTTCCGGGGCGCACCGGGTTTGTTGGAGTTGCAGGAGTCATTCTAAAAGAGAGCGCCTTTGCTTTAAACACGGAAAGCCTGAACACGTACGCCCGTATTATGTTGCTTTCTGTTCTAAAACCGGTATACTTTTCTCCCTCGGCTCTTTGAGAGCCAAGCATTCGACTCTTCTCGCTTCAGGAGCCGTAGAGATGGTAGCTCTAGTCTAAACGGAAAGTCTTTCTCCGGTTCATGGGTAGTTGTAAATGGGGTTGTAAGTAGGATAACAAAAGTTATAACCTATATTAGGGGACTTATAACTCCACTTATAACTACCCAGGAACCTCCAAGTAGAAGCCGGAAACAGCAGCCAATCCATCTGCAGGGCTGTGATTGGATTGCAGATATAGTCCAGAAGCATGTTACACCTGCGCGCTATCTCTCAGGATAGCAGGTTCGAAAAGCCCTGGGAAGTTCGGTGAACAGTTTAGACCGATCTGCCGACATCAATCGAACATACCCCGATGGCGCTGATTGATACCCTGTCAGCCGCAAACCGAGGCCTGCCACCTTCGTTTGGGTGGATTCGTCGGAAGCGGCTGGGACAGCAACAACTGCTAGTCTGCACTCCGGCACATGCAGTAGGGCATTGAGCTAGCAGTTTGACATGTGGACGCACACGCAGAACTGTTGTAAATGCGTTTTGCCAGTACCTGCTTTGCTTCCTATTTTTTGTTGCGAATGGTGACTCGCGCTAGCACCAAAAATTCCAGTCTTATGCATGTACATGTACCTTTGTTTTGATGGCTACAGATTCCCTAAACCCTAACCTCTTCCTGGCGGCCATCGAGGTGTAGGTTTTCTTCCGAGCGATGAGCTCGGCTTCCCCGGGGCGAACGAGGCTCAGACTCACGGGCAGGGTTTAGGGCCCCTAAGCCCCCTGAACTTATAAACCCTTAACCATAAACCCCATAGTAGTTCCGTTCTGGGGTTATCCTAAATATAAGCCACAAACAGGAACTATTTTGGGGCCTATGGGTAAACCCGAGTTTCAGGCTTTGGAGTTCTTTGGTTTCTCCGGGCCTTCGGTTTAAGTCAACATCGGATTTCGGGGGAGATGTCAGTCGTTTTCTGCTCCCCTTGGGCTCAGTTCAGCTTGGCAAGGCGGCTCCTTCCTACAGGTCCCAAACCGGTTTTTTTGATTAGGTACCAGAAAGCCTTCACTTCAGAGTATAGCATTTCATAGTATCTAGGGTACAGGACCCCATTATAGACAGTAGCTGGGTGATCGGATCCTGCAGGTAAGCTGCAGCAAAAGCCCTAGACAGTCTAGGGCGACTTCTAAAACTAGTTAGTGAAGGCAAAAGCTGAGCGTTTGCTGCTGTACGCCTGCGTGGTTAGGCTGTGGGAGAAGATGTTGGGTATGGTTGGACCCTGATAAGGAGCCGCTGGTTTCCCAATTCGAATGCAGGATCCATATTTGTAATCTGGTTGCTACACTACCGAGTGTCGAAAGCCTAAACCTAAACCCTCCATCCTAAACCCAAACCGCTAAGCCGTGCATTAGACTCGAACGGTTCCTACATTAGTGTTGACTCGAGGATGTCTTGGCTAAGCATGCTCACTGAAAGCTTAAGTTTTGAGTTTGGATTTTGGGTGCATAAGATTAGTGTTTCGGCTTCGGGAGTTTTGCAGCAAGGACGTTGACAGGCAGCTCGAAGAGAAAGCACAATATAGAAGAAGTTTATAGGGTTTAGAGAAGTTTCGGGATGGGAAGACAGTTGTCTAGAAGGTTGCACAGATAGTACGCAAAGGGACCAAGCTACGATGTAGGTATTTCGCGGTATACAGATCGCTGCCCCAAAGTAGGCAGCAGGACAAGTCACCCCCACAAGTCTAGGCATCGTTCCTCCTCTGACACTCAAAAAGTTCCCCCTCAGAACTTTTCGGTACCGGTCCGCAGCATCTCAAAAATCTTGTGGACGATGACAAACCCCTAAATCTTAAACCCTACACCCTAAACCTTAAACCCTAAACCCTTCAGGCAGTGGAAGCCCTCCTGGCCGACAAGGCGTGCCTGGTTTTGTTATAATGGGGTTCGTTTTCGGTCCAAGAGGGGTCTATGAGCTTCTTGTAATGTTCTTGAAAAGAGCTCGGGGTCAAGCCTTGGGCTGTGGGTTGTCGTATGTGTTGTGGCCATCGTCCGATGAGTCTGATGCTTTCAGGTTTCTGCTCAACTCCCATTTGTTTGCCCGGCAAGTCGCAAGCAGGACCAAGCTGCACGGCCGGTTGTCCTCCAAAGTGCTGAGGACGCCGGGTGGGCCACAGCCGCTTTGATCGGTCTACACTTTGGGGTTCAGCTGAACTTGGGAAGTAGTTTCAGATGCTGGCTGTATTCAGAAAAAGTTGTTGATGTCATGCTTGTTTTCTACACGTGCACAGTTTCCCATGCGCACTCCGTATGTGCATACTCAAGTACAAGGCTGACCAAATGTTTAACAGCAGCGTGTCTATATGCAAAATACGAACATATATATATATATATGTATATATATATATACATTCATGTATGTCATTAGATATTACATATATATATATATACATATGTATATGTATGTATGTATATGTATGTATGTATACATATATATATATATATATATGTATATGCATGTATGTATATGTATGTATATATATATATATATGTGTGTGTGTGTGTGTGTGCGTGTGTGTATGTATATATTGGTAGGTTAACTATTGTTTGGACGGATATATGCATGGCCTGTATGGCCCCATAACCCACTTCTCAAGTCCCCTCGATGGTTTTAACTAAGGAAAGGTCGGCGGTCAGATGCTATGCTGAGTGACACATAATGTGCAGCCCTCTAAACAAGGGGACGATCGTTGACTCCTCTTTTGTGGATTTTGTTAAGTTGCAGTAATATGGGGGGCCTAAATAATTACCTAAACCATTTTGGGGGTTCCTCATTATAATTATAGTATAATGGGCCCGAAAACCCTATTCTAATTCTTAAGGCCCTATATATTATTTCGGGGCTCACAGTTGTTGGGTCGACTCCAGGTCTTTATGCGAATGGTCCTATTCTTGTTCGGGCCCAGGGGGGGTCGCGTTCACCTTCCCTGAAGCCATACAATATGGCTAGGGCAGCATGGAGTGAAGTGTTGTATGCTTGCCTGGCCGGTGACGGCAAGGTTCGGGTGTTCGTGGTTCTGGGGCCACTCGACTTGATTTGCCACTGCCGCAGATGCGCACCGCGATGTGTGTTTCGGCTCTTTCATCTACGCGCGGACATCAGTTTAGGCAGAGCGCTCCACTGTACCAACAAGGCTCGGATGCTGCGATGAGTCGGCCACAGGCACGCGTTACTCCCACACCCCACATATGCATCCTAAACATTCCTAAACCCTATAAACCCTATAAACCCTATAAACCCTAAAACCCTATAAACCCTAAAACCCTAAACCCTCAGAGCTCACGGCCTCGGCCGGCCGTGATTCGTTGTGAGTGGTCATGGGACGTGGCCGCGTACAGAAGGCGAAGGCGAAGAAGAAGGACAAGGCCCGCCGGTTTAGGGTTTAGGCTTTGGGGCTGAGTGTGGCTGTGGACCACAGGCAAATGCAGGTGACCGCTGGTATACTTTGGTTGGAGTCATACTGCAGTGGTTTGAAGAATTTCACCAAAAAAACCGTAGAGTCCATGCATCTAGTTGCTACTGTACTTTTGAAACTATTCATTTCCCGAAATTAGGTCTAGTTGCTACTATATTATTGAAACCATTCGTTTCCCGAAATTAGGTCTTGCTTCAGGAGTCCGATGCCAGAATCTGATGCCAAGCTCCGACAGACCCAACCCCCGGATTCCCTCGGTATAGGGTTTAGGAGACACATTCGAAGCCCGACAAGGAAGTCCTGCAGGAATCTGGATGAGTCCTCCATGTCGTCTGTCACTGCTTTACGTTAATATAAAGCCACCCAAACCACTGGAAACAAGTACAAATTGAGAGTCTTGACCTGAAACCAGCGCGCGCCGGCTTGAGGTAATTTCAGGATTACCTGAAGCCGGCGCACGCCGGCTTCGGGTAAAGACTCTCCATTCTGTTCGACAAGTGGGGCCTCCCTCCAAACTGCGTGAAGGGTAAACCCTTCCCCACGGCTTTTTCCTTTTGAACTCGTCTGCTCAAGCAGGATACTGTAGGATCCATATTGGGGTAATGTATGTGTCTCTGACACTCCCGCCATGTAAGGCAGAACGATCTCTCGCTGTTGATCGAGACGGCCTCTTGCCGTTTAGGGTTCGATTCCAATGATACCCTCCCTCCACCCTGAACAAGATGAAGTAGGTGCTGAGTGCTCTTCTAACTACGATCCTTAAGGTTGGCCTTGCTGTTAACACGTCGCAGATGTGTTTGCTTGGCAAGGCTTGGAGCAATGGCAAAAGGCACGTCGGGTCGGCTGTGGTGCTATTCCTTTAAAACAAAAGCGATTGTGGAAGTCAGGGTCTGCTGTCTTCCCTGAGCATATAAGTTCAAAGATCTATACCTGGAGTGGTATTCCGTTGCTGCAGCACTGACGCGGTTGGCAGAGGAAGTTCAAAGCACAAGACCCTGTCTACCGTGGCATGGTCGACCCCAACGTCGCTGGGCTCTGATGTGGAAGTTATGAATGCTGTGTTCCGTAGTTTGCTGAAAGGAAGCTGTCTGAATAAAGAGTGAAGTCCAGCTTTCTGGTAGTGCTGCCCCACCCTGGGCCCGAAACCTCGCAAGCTACCCGCACCTATCAGCAAGCCCACGCCCGACATGCTACTTGGAGGGTCGGGGGACTTAGTAACTAGTTATTTTACAGACTTATAAGTACCGTAACCCCAATTAGGATCCCTTTTAGGGCATGTATAACTCTACTTAGTATCTACTTACTAAGTCCCCCGACCCTCCAAGTACCTGTTAATCTGCCGGAGAGCGGGGGCTGGAGTTGATTGCCTTTGGCGCTTGCTAGCTGGTCCTTCGCCGACAGTAAGCCCTAACCTCCCAGGTACCTACTATATAGGGCACTAGAGCCCCTTTTGGCGCCCCATATAGTAGGCACGTGGGGGGTTAGGGAAGGACATATGAGATTTACATGCAGTTGTGCTCGAGGCCTGTGGTGCTTTCTGCCTCCCACCTGGGACGGTAACTGAAGCCCACCATGCGCATACTTTAATCCTTCAGCGCCAAAATCTGACGATAGAGACCGTGGATATTCACCGGACCCCCAAATCCGCGAAGCCTCCTCCCCCACAGAGCCTTGAGCGTGCTTTCATGCTTCCGACTCTCGGAAACCACCCTCCTTGCATGGCTATGTCCCTTTTTAGGGTGTAGGGTTTAGGGTTCGCCCAAACAAGAGTACATGACCGTTAATGTGGTGCTTGGAAAGACTTGAGACGCCGCCTGGCATCGCATTCTAGTGCTCAAGACTCTCTCTCTCTCGCTCTTTGCCTCCCAGACCTTGTAAGCCCGAAAAATTCCAAACCCTAAACTTAAATGAGGTGAAGTTGGCCCACCAGAAGCGCAAGGGTGCGGCGCCTCGCCTGGAAAAGTCGCTGCATGAGTTGTTCTGTGCCGATTTCCGTACACAGCACGCCCTCGCACGTGACCAGATGATGAGCCCTCTTGCTGCATCCAGCCTTCTTTCGAGATTCAACTAATTACCTACATAGTTCCATAGACCTGCAGAGCTATGGTGCTTCCTCCGCATGACCTTTGCCAGGGATTCGATGTGTAGCAATGACAGGAGTTTTAAGGGTGACCAATGTCGCAAGCCTTTACGCTTACGGGATCTCTTCCATCAGAGCTCCACAGCTCCACCCCAGAGCCTCAAAAGCCTAAATTCAGACGGACCGAAGCCGTGCCAGCCCTGTGCGAGTGTGTGAGTCGCAGCCCGAAGCCCTAAACGAGTGAACCCTAAACCCCATGGTATGGAAGAGCCAGGTGCAGAAGAATGGTGTGCCGAAAGGCGCAGAAGGGGAAAGAAGCAGTGGGCCTTCCCTGATGGTTGGATTACTCGCGATGGGTTTAGGGGTTGTTAGGATTTATTGTACCTAAGAGTCGTTTTCTGGTGAGACTACAGGCTCCGAGTCGTCCAGCGCTCTCCCGTGAACACAGGCGATGCGGATTCCAGCGATATCCCGCCTTTGTTTGGTGTGTCCGGCGTCTTCGGCGGGAGTGCTTCACCAGTGACTTGGGCGCATGGATGTTAAGAGTTTGGTGAGCCACGCTTCAAAATGTCTTAGTATGGGCAACGTAGACTGCCAGCTGCAGTACAATAAGCCGTGCTCAGAAGCAAGCACACATCAATGTCCGTTCAAGCAGTGGAGAGGAAAGAATTCAATTGCACTCAACAGCGGCTTAGTCGCGGCGTTGTCAACCAAGCTCCACTGAACTCTGAAGCTGTTCGAGTTTGTAATGCTACGTCGCTTCCGACCCTCTCAAGCGGCGAGTTGTCTGCACTCTGCACATTCCTTTCTTCCCCCCAACGCTGATGGCCTCTCCTGTGCTACGCCGCCTGGTGTGCGTAGTCTTCCTCCTCGCAGTGCCTTCCGGCGCAGTGCGCACAGACCGTGACAAGCACGGGCATGATGCGCTGGCAGCTTCGAGCGACGTGAAGCACGCAGGGACGTCACCAGGTGGGCTACGACTTTCGTGCTCTTTAGACCTGAACAATCTACGCTGTACAGCCCCAACTGAGCCTGGAGCCCAGACGAAGAAAATACCAAACTGAGAATTCAAGACATCCCCAAAACCGCATTTTAATTTAAATCCAGCAAAAAGCATAAAGGGCCCTAAAGGCCCTCAGTTTTGAACTGCCCCATACCCGAACATCCTAGTTCTATACCATCCTGCACCCCTGAAAGCCTACTGCAAGCCTTCTTCTTAACCCTTTTCAGGCCGTCGAGGCACAAGAAACTGAGGATCAGACAGGGGGTTGCTTGGCAGTTCTTGAAGTTTAGAGGGTTTATGGGTTTAGGGGTTTAGGGTTTAGGGGTTTTGAGTTGAGAGATTTTGGGCTTAGGGTCTAGAGGCTAGGACAAATACTCATATGGCTTACTGGCTGGTCCCTTGTAGGAGCATTTCCTGCGGTTTTCGGTCCAAGGGGCTTCTAGCTGAGGTGCTACACGACAGGGCATAGGCAGGCGTTGAGTTCAACCTGGAGCATCTCATTTCTTTGTTTGAACTTGCTCTCCATGTCGCTCTCGTTTGGGTATGTGCATGTATGTACTTATGCAGCTGCTTGTTTAGACATCGGCCTGCTGTCTCTCTTTCTGTTTATCGGTCTCTCGCTGTTTGTTTCTCTCCCTTCATTTTCCGTCCGATGGCAAGTCCGGAGCCCTCCACCCGAGAACGCGAAAAGCTGAGGTTGCTGGTACAAGCCCGAGGGTGCCAGGTGCACCGGGTCAATCAACACAATTATGGGCAAGGAGCTGCTCAGCATTTAGGGCGTAGGGGCAGGGATCCCTGCTTTTTACCGTCAAATGACTGACCTTACGAACCAGTGCGGAAGGGATGATGTGTAGAAAGTTCCCATGTTGGTTCTTGCTGCTTTCTGGGATTGGAATCCCGATGTTGGATTCTGTCGGGATGTTTCGCGTATCAGGAGCTGATCCAGGGCACATGCCAGTGCACCGGCGAGCGCTACAGCTTCAAGGAAGTCGGCTTCAAAAATATGGACTTGTGGCGACACTGCAAGGACCACAAGTTGAAGTGCAAGCCCTGGAAGCTCTTCCGATGAGCTTTCGCCTCTTAATCGCGCAGCTTCTGCACACGTTCCCTGCGAGATGCTGCAGCCTGATGCGAAAAAGCCGCCGCTCACATAACCCTTCTATCTCCAGATAATGGGGATAATGGATCATAACCCTAAACCCTAAACCCTAAACCCTAAACCCTAAACCGTGTTAACAGGCGAGTCGAGAGGCCACAGGGTTCAGATGCAAGGTGCTTACCTCGTAACAGTCCAAGTTCAATGCCCCTTGTAGACATGGATTACTGGGTCTATGCTACACTTGGATGGGGAGAACATAGCTCGATTTTGCAGTTATCAAGCACTGGAAGACCCACGACCGAAAGCACCCCATACTGACACTTCCTACACCCTGTAACCTCAATCCTAAGCTCAATGACACGATCAAGCATGAACTTTATGTATGTACGTATGTATGTATGTATGTATGTATGTATGCATGTATGTATGTATGTATGTATGTATGTATGCATGCATGCATGCATGCATGCATGTATGTATGTATATCATATGTATGTATGTATGTATATACATATATATATATATGTGTGTGTGTGTGTTTTTGCTTATTTCGATATGTACATATTGAACTGTGTGCGCGGTTTGTTCCAGCTATTCCGCTATTCACACTCCTTAGACCCTAGACCGAAAGTGGCATGAACCTAAATATGACCCTAGAAAGCCATGGGCGAGCTCTGGAGGCCCTATATACTTGGAGGCTCATGGGTAGTTCTGAGTGGGGCTATAAGTCCCGTAGTCTAGGTCATCACTCTAGGTGTGCTACTGAAAACCCAATGACGGCGGTAGGTGTTTTCCCTGAGTCTAGAAAATATGTAGGGGATTTGATAATCGGAATAGTGTGCCTCAGGGTTCTTTTTCATACATCTAGTATAACATCCACCCAAAACCTTTTGTTAATTTTTCAGGCACCTCTGCTACCTGTTTTCCCTGTAAACGAGCCAGTAAGCAAGTAATCGTCTTTGGTAGACGGTTTAGGGGCATATCTTCCCGACACGTTTCACTTCTATTTCCAAGGGAAGCCAAAAACACTTATTTCCAGGAAGCTGGACAAGCGACTATTTCAGGGTACATGACAGTCAGGTTTGTGCTTGCGCCCTTCCGTCTTGATGACAAGGCGATTTTAGCATTCTTTTCAATCTCCTCAACTCAGTCACAAAACGGAATCAGGACATGGTTTCCTACAGGGGCTCTAGCTGGCACCCAGAAGATCCCGGAGATCCCAAAACACCGGAACTAAGGAAAAATAAATCAAGTTGTCGATTCATAGAGGGATCCCCACAACACAGCATGGTTCATTAAGGTATATTAACCTTTGTTGAGGAGTCTAAGAGTCTCTGGAAACTGACACCCCAAACATCCTAGACCTTTAGAAGTCCCTGCATACTCATCGTAGAACATACCAAGCCTTGTTCTAACCATGGCTGCATCTTGACCTTAAGTGACCGAAGGGATCGCGAAGGTGCATGAATTCATGTTTTCAGGGGTTTTGAGGCCCCTCGCCTGCATCTTCTTAAGATGTGTAGAGGCATCCCCCAATACAGCATAGAGTATGGTTTAAGGTACATTCGCCTATACTCCTAAACCCTGAAACCAAAAAAACCCAGCTTACAGATTTGGGATTTTAAAGTCCTTAAACCCTAAACCCTAAACCCGAAACCCTAAACCCTAAACCCTAACCCCAAACCCTAAACCATTCATCTTGAGGCTCCTACCTCGGATCCCAAGCCGGGGCGGGGCAAGCGCCGGCGCCGCGGCGGCGGCGAGCCGGCCCCGGAGGTCCCAGAGTAACCACCTTAATTAAGGAATCTTGCTTATAAGTCATACAACCCCCCCAAAAAAAAGAAAAAAAAAAAAATGGGTAGATTGTGGCAGATGCCTTAATGAACGGGTGTTGGGTTCTCTGGGGTGCGAAAGTCGGCGAATGTGTCTTGAGTGTCGAGCTTTTTGCATGGTTTCTTTTCCGGATTTGGATTACTTTGGATTACAGCGACAGACAGAAGTGGGCACCAAGCTTCCTGCGCCGGCCATACCAGTCTTCAGCAGATCTCCGGGCCTTCAGCAGTATGCCACGTGCGCACCAGGTCTCTCTTTCGACCCCAGCATAGACCTGGTTTCGGGTTCGTATAATGTAACACATGTATGCGTTTATATATATATATATAGATAGATATAGATACAGATAATATTTAGATGCATGCATTATATGTTTATATGTATACAAGCACATAAATACATATGTACACATGCTTAGGAACCAAATCAAGAAAGACAACCAATCAAGAACTTGGGGCTGGACCCACCTAGATCGAGTCCGAAGGCTGCGGAGTCCAAGGAGCCAAAGAGGAAGAGGCTGGCGTCCTCCTTGTGGTTTTGGGGTTGTACGGGCTTCGTTTTAAGGTTGCTATAGCATTTAAGCTTGGGACGGGGAGGGTTTGGAGACTTGCCTTGGGGGACAATATGGGCTTGGGAGTTTCCGTTCGGGAGCTTGCCCTTCAAACCTACATGGAGCATGCATTCTTATTGGGCAGGCTAGCCCATCTTATGCAAGCAAAACCAGCGAAAGCTCATGGTTGAAAGTATATGGCTGTCACGGTTTTTCAGAGCTTATATAGTCTTATATGGTTTTAGATGGTTTTAGGATCACAGGGGGTCTCCATCAGGGCACATCAAGTGTTCCTCATGTGCACGGATCCAACATCGTCCAACTCACGGCGACAGGAAGGACGCGTCCTCAAATTCCTCAGCCCTGCCGGCATTTCTCAAGAGCGCCGTTTGGCTGCATCTCATTGGACCGCAAGTGGATGTACATCAAGCACCCAGGGGAAGTGAGCAGGTGACTTAACGTTTTTGGGGTGAATTACAAAAGCCCCGAATGAGTCAGGTTAACCTAACCTTTCGTTCCCTTAGTTCCCCTATAGGATACTGGAATTTTAAGAGCAATGCAAGCTTGCAACGTTCGAGGCAATGCTTCCTCAAGCCGACACTGGCCCAGCGCTGCCCAAGAAGAAGGCCTACCAGGGTTAAGGGCTTAAGGGAGTGCAGTCGCAAAGTGGAGGTTTTGGAGTTTCGGGATGTAAGGGGTTGCCTGGGGTTTGGCCAAGTCTAGGACACTTTCAGGTGGGTAGTTACCGTTTTTGGAGGCTTCTGGAAGGTCTATATGCCTTGTAGAAGCCTTATAGAAGCCCTATATACCCCAAGCTTCCCACCTGTAGTTTCCTTTAACCAAGGCCAACCATCCTCTTTCGAGTTGCCGAGACAAAGCGAGCTAGAGTCGCAGGAGCTGGAGAGCGTGGCCGACTACTCTCGACGGCTGGATGACGCCGTGAAGAGCAAGCTCCAGGCAACAACCCAGAAAACCATCCCTGAAACGATGTGGTTCACCATTCCAGCGTGGAGGAATCTGTACCGAACGCCACATCTTGGACCCATCTCCCCGGCAACATTAATTCCGCTTCCTTTCGATTGCCTGACAATATAGGAGACAAGCAACATTTCCCCGAAGTTTCACGGCTAAAACTTTGAAGCTTACATTCGCAACAGTTCCGGATTCGGATTTCTGGGGCCCCAGAGTGGATCTCGTCAGCAGAGACACGGACTAGCTGCCTTGGGAAACCGCTTTGTTTAGCTTTGAGTTACTCCTTGCCAAGTCAATACAAGATGTGGTTTCGTAACAAGGAGTTTCAAGAATCGACTTGTGCCTGTCGCTGCGATCAGTGTGTCGAGAGTTTTGTTGCGGGATATGTGGAAGCCACGGCTTCGATTCGGAGCCTTCCAGCAATGAGCCGAATCAGTGCGATGATCCGTTAAGTGTTGCTTTTTCATTACCAGTAGCTGGAACAGACAGATTTTGGGAGCCACCAGTACGCCATCTCGTATGACTCCATGACACCAGTGAAATTACTCGTCGTCGCAGTAGTCCAGCCGACGCAGCATCAGCCGAAAGGTCGTGCAGAAAAAGGCGAACACAGATCACCAGCGGCAGCGGCAGAAGGACCACGGCGACCTCATCCTTCCGATGTTTCTGATGCGCTCCTGCTGTCTGCATACTTGCGAAGGGCCGCAGCGCTGCCTCAGTAGCCACTAAACACCGTCCCTGAACCCTAAACCCTAAACCCTAAACCCTAAACCGCACAATCCCAGAAAGCCGCCCCCTGTTCCATGCATCCTGAGCTGCGGGCCCAACCGATCCTGCAATCGAACCTTCAGAATCAGAGCGACCTTGTAGCCACCACCGGGTTTGATTTAGGCTGTTCCTGGCATTTGCATAGACCAGGTGTAGAAAGGGTTTAGGCTTTAGAGTTTCGCGTTTAGAAGTTATAGGGCTTAATCTAGCTAGTATTATTAGGGGTACCCCTTAAACCCCTTCTGAACCCTACTTTTGGCTCTCTTAAAGCGGGACCTTATTGAGAGGGTCTATATCCCCAAGGGTCCCCCTAATCCTAACTCCCATGATCTTCACCACCGGCACCATGAGGGTCACTTTTGGGTTTGCCGGAAGTGGTTGCAACCTCTCGGCAGATTTTTGCATCATAGAATCATAGCTTATCCCTGTAGCCGAATCCTATCTCAGAGCTTGCTGTGCACGTGTGCCGTTCATGTAAGTGAGATGTGCTTCGCAGCTTCAGCTCTTGATACTTGTGTTGGTTGCCTTGCCTCGACGCGTAGCCCGAACTTCAGATCCTAGCCGACAACACACCGTGAACTTCATCTGGTCAATCCGAGTGTGAGTGCAAACCATAAAATTCAGAAGGTCCCAAACCCTAAGCCCTAAACCTCTAAACCCTAAACCCCTAAACCCCTAAACCCCTAAAGCCCTAAAGCCCTAAACCCCTAAACCTTAAACCCCTAAACCCCAAACCCCTAAACCCCTAAAGCGCCAAACCCTAAATCCAGTAGGGACTCCTCTGCTGCTCTCGCTGCGAAGGAGCGAGCTAAAGTCCTCAAGGAAAAGAAGAATGCAAAGAAGGGCCAGAAGACGAATCCGACAGAGGTTCCAAGCGCTTAGGGTTTTGGATTCAGGATGAGGAGTGGTGGAGCTCCGGGTAAGTGTCAGGTTTCAGAAGTTCTGCCTTACATTTTCATTTTTACGTGAACTCTGCATTGTGCCACCTTGTTTGGTGGACGTGCGTACCCTAGGTCGCGGGGCAAGAAGGAGTCATGCGAGCTACCCAACAGCCGCAGCCATAAAGCCCACCCCGGAGTCTTGCTTGACCTTGAGGCCGAAAGTCCGAAAGCGTGAACTCCTATCTGCAAGCCCAAGCCTAGACACATCTAAATATAGGCCCTAGACTATGACAAATGGCGCACATCCCAACACCCATATAGCCTTTGTCTTCGCTTCACCTTCTGCTGCAGCCTGAGAGCCTTAAATGTAAAGTCTTAAGTACCAAACGGTGAAGTCTGAAACCAAACCCTCACCCACCCGGGTTGGTCCATTTGTTTTGAGTCTTTGGATCACCCGCTGCTGGAATGGTCTTGCAGCGTCCAGTTGCGAGAGTCCAAACCACATCCCGAAGGCTTCATTAACCATGCAGCCCAAAATTCTTATAGATCCCGAGACAAATGTATAGCATCGCCAAACCCTTTTTGAATTCATGAGCGCTCTGATTTTGTATCCCTTTGAACAGGTTCCAGAGCCCCTCTTGGGCCGCGTGGACCGGCCGAAGTTCGGAGACGTGGTCCAGCGACCGCCCACCTTCAGCAAGGCTCCGCAACTGGGGGTCCAAAAACCAAAGATTTTGGCTTGAGGGTCTACAGGGTTGAGGGGGTATATCAACTTTTTTTGACCTTTACGACGTAGATACGGACTAATTCCTCTGTATATGTAGTTCCTAGGCGTGGGTTCCATGCGTACGGGGTTGGGTGTCACTGTGTGGGTGTTCTAAAGCAGTACTTCGGAGAAGGTGTAGTAGGCGGGGGCAAACTAGCGGTCCACAACTGAAAAATTGACGGAACACTTGATCCTAAAGCCCATAAGTCCCAATACCCCCCCTAGACCCCAATCCCTAAACGCCAGGAGTCCGAGTGTGAGTGCTGAAACACCAGGAGTGTCCGAGTGGGAGCGCCGAAACCCTAAACCCCAAATCCTCAAGCAAACCCGTCAAACTTCATGGCCGATGCCAGAAGCTTGAGCTTCAAAGTCGCGCACAGACAAGCTGAAGAGAAATCTGGTCGCCTCACTCACGGGAAACCTTGAATTGTGCCTAGGATTATGTTATCATGCAGCGACCTTGGAAACAAAAAAAGTTCGGGGCCCATAGAAGCTTTATCAGGGCCACAATGCATCGATGGGGAAAGCCCTGAGCCAGGATGCCTTGAAGGCGGGAGCCAAAGGGAAGCTCGGCAAACAAATGCTGTAGGTAGGTGGAGGCGGGTCGTGAGGCTGAGCTTTGCATGAGAGTTATGCCTGTTGATTTACACAGCCTTCTGATAGAAGTGGGTACCAGGTGCTCAAACCGAAGCCATCCATTCCGAGATCGAAAGGTGAAGAGCCTGCAAATTGTTCATGCGAGTACTCATTACAGGAAGCATGACTCCTGCATGCGATACCCCGGTTGCCAAGGAAGCAGAAGTCCGGGGATAGCGCAGGCCTGTTGGGACTTTCATGTTGCAGCAGATCCCGGCAGCTACCCGCTCCACGAGTTGTGTGCCTCAGGATTTGTTGCATGATCAGTTAGTGACTACTATCATCCAGAAGCAGTACCCCTCAGCGAATCACGGAACTTTCGAAGAACTCCGAGGCAGTGGTCTCGTAGCCCTAGCATCCAGCTTCAGCTAATCCCGCTGCAGCTAAACCCTTACCCTAAGGCTCATGGACCCCCATAGTGAAAGCCCAAACCTTAGCCCCCAAAGCCCAAACCTTCCCCCAGAAAGCCCATAACAGCAAGAAGAGCCTTAGGCTAAGCCCTAAACCCTAAACCCCAAACGCTACACCCTAGAATCCCTAGGCAAGCAAGGGGCTCTGGCTGCCAGCAACTTAGCAGACTACGTTGGCCAAGTTCGAGATGCTTACGAGACCATGCCACTGGGCCAGGAAAGACCTTGTGGGCTCAATATAGGGGCCTTAAGAATTACCTATACTATTTTGGGGGTTCCTTACTATCCGTATAGTATAGCGGACCCCAAAACCTTGTGTCTAGTTATATGAAGGCCCCTACAGTAGTCTTGCATGGTTTCGGGTTCTTGGTGCTTCGAAGCTTCGGGCGCAGACGTTCGCGGGGTTCAGGGCTTTGGGTGGAGCTGACTCTGCTCCAATCTTTGAACTAGCACCACCAACTCACAAGCCACAGCATCGTAGAGCTTCTCCCTACCCTAAGGCTCATGGATCCCCATAGTGAAAGCCCAAACCTTAGCCCCCACAGCCTTCCCAAACCTTGCCCCAGAAAGCCCATAACAGCAAGAAGAGCCTTAGGGTAAACTAAACAAAGCCATAGCCAAGGAAGAAGAAGCGACAGGCTGCTGCAGCCGCCAAAGTCTGAGGGCAGCAGTTCCCAGAGAGCCCGAGTATGCCCGGAGGCCGTGTTCGTGTGTAGATTTGTTTATGTGCCTATATTAATTTGCAAGTGTGTGTCTGCGTGTGTCTGTGTTTCTGAAGTAATTTCATGTATTGTCTCAATTACATTTGCTGGCAACAGTAAGTGACATGTTGTTTAAGTTTTCCGTGTACAACTACCTGGCTTACATTGGAACTAGGATAGAGCGGAGTTGCTGCTAGAAAAGACCACGCGAGCCAGATGTGTGTTGTGTGTAGAGTATAGAGTCTGGGACTTTCCTGCCTGACCTAGGGTTTAGGGTTTAGGAGCTCTGGCGGTAGCTTGAATCGAAGGGACAGTTTTTATCAACGGAACATTCGGCTCTTACGGGAATTTACTGGATGCTGGCAGCGCCGAAGAGCGGCGAGTGCTCGCAACAGTAGCCGGCCTGTTCTCTGTAGGTGATGGGTTCCCTATACGGCCCGCTCATGACTACTTCGATCGCCTCCCTTAGCCCGACAAAGACCCGAAGCGCAATCTGTTCATGGCAATCTCCTACACATTCTACAAGTGAACAGATTGCAGCGCTTTTCCTGGATTCCTTGGCTCCGGCCGTTTCATCACAGCAAGGCTGGTAAGAATGACGGTACCGGAGCAGAGTCCCCAAGGCATGATCAAAAAGAGAGCGTTTAGGGTTTAGGGTGAGTCATGTTCAGCTGTCCTGGCGTGACGCCGCAAGCCAGTTGCAAAGAAGGGTGAGTCATGTTGGTATTATCTACCAGATGCTTCAGGGGAAAGTCTTAGGCGGGGAGAGAAAGAATCGGAAGAGGGATGATGCGGACTGCTTGTAGTACTAACTTATATGTCGACCAGCATATATTTGAAAGCCTGCGAAGTCACATTGTTCCGGCCGGTTCTTCTTACGGTGTCTCTAAATTGGAGCCTCGTTTGTTTAAGAAGCTTCTGAGGAACAACCTGCCGTGACACAGCTCGTGAGGATGACCAGTGGGTGCCATGGGAGGAGCTGGTGAAGCCGTGGAAGCCCGAGGTTTGCGGTTGGGGTTTAGGGTTCCGGGTTTAGGTTTAGGGAGTGGGTCGGTATCATACGAAAGATTCGGGCTTGATCAACCTGAACAGAAAGGCATGACGAGTTGGGGCGACTTGAGGGCATGTCTCTGGCAAGGTGCTTGTCTGCTTTTGATTTGTTCATTATCTTACCTATACGTTCGTCACCTTTTATCTGCTATCCTATCTCTGTGCACACCTATATTTCGCACAAAAAGATGGTATCGCCAACAACTTCGTTTGAGTTGCTCTGCTCTCAGTTGGCGGGTGCCGGTAGCGGCGAGCCGCCGTCTTCACCCGAGGTCCCTCGAGCGCATCTTTGGCCGCTGGCCAGGTTTCAAGCTGCGCAGTGTCCGAGGCCGCGACAACGGGAAGGTGCTCTTTGTGTACACGTGCTCTAGTAAGTTACGTACATGTTTTTTTGACCAGAACGCGTTATATTTGTGAATATGTATCTCTAGCTATCTATCCATCTATCTCTCTTTGTTTGTCTATATCTGCATATGTATACTGTTGCACACACATGTATATATATATATATATGTATATATAAATATTGCCATTGCTACGTGCATATCACATGTATACACAGAGATTTGCTTCTGGCTCCTCTACCTCAGTACCGAATAAGGAAATGGTGAAAATTGCGTGTTTCTGAAAAGATGTAGACTGTTTATATAGACAAACCGGCATCGATGGATAGTGATAGAGCCCCTGAGTTTTGGGAAGGTCAGCAGCAGCCTGGGCAGTGGCAGTGTCAGATGATGCAAATTAGATTGAGATGTCATTGGCCGTTCAAGGACGCGCCGTTCACTGGGCCTGATAACTTCATTCATGTTTCTACCATGGGCTCGCTTTGCATGACCAGGGCGTGGACATGTGGTCGCGGCATCCTCAGCTGTACCAAAGGGGTTCTACATATTCAGGCAGCGGTTGCTGTTGCAAGCCTACTCAGAAGCTTTGCGGTGCGGTTGTCTGTGCACAATCGATCTCTGGGATCGAACCTTCTGCAACAAGAAATCCTATGTGCTGGAGGGAGGGGCGGAGACAGAGAGAGAGAGGGAGAGAGAGACAGACAGAGACTAAGAGAGATGTGCAGTCTTTCCGAGGAGCAGTGGGAAGGAGACCTCTTGCACGAGTTCATGAAGGAGTATGCAGTTGAAGCATATGATGCCTGACCGAAGTGAATGCGAAATAGAGAAGGGTTGACCGCTTCATGCTCGAACCGAGAGAAAAGAGGTCGGTGCAGGATGCTGCGATCCTTTCATGAGCAGGTTATATGATCTATAGCTTTCCGGCATCATTAAGCCCTGACTTTCCACGTGGACCTACTGGCTACATTCCGTTGCATAGGCATGCAGGCTACATGCGTGCATGCGGGTTTTGTGAACCAGTGCTTCAGCAACGAGACTCTGCTGGTTGGCATGGGTTTACAGCAAGCCAATCTCGCCCGACTTGCGAGTATTCCTCTCAACTTCACATCTCTGCCGGGCTCGCCCAGCAAGGCGCCCGAGCCGCACACAGCCCACGCCCGTCGGAATCAACCAGGTGCCAATTCCCGTGTCCTCGCACAGTGACGGGTCCCTGGTCAGTTGGCATGCAGCCAAGTCGGTGCAGTACTTCCGGAGCACCTTCACCCCGACCGCGAGGGTCTGCCCCATCCCGATCACCCCTGGCATGGACTCCGTGGACCCAACAAGCGTTTGGCCTTCACCTTCCGCAACATAGGCTCCAGCCACATGCTGCGTCGTGCCTCATCGAGGGGATCCTGCTCGTACTGCGGCCGCACGGCCTTCATGCAGTCTTCTGAAGCCCGAAGAGTAGTGGAAGGGCCGGCAGTGGGAGGGCCTGTCTGTGGACGCCGACGGCTGGAGGCCTGCATGCATTCAGCATCAGCCATAGCATGCCATAGCCATGTTGATGGCCTCTGGTGCGAGGACCACGCGCGCAGGCGCCCACAATTCGCAGATGCCCGCTGCCCGATGATCAGAGCACCGTGCACACCAGCCGTTCCTGCAGGCTGGGCTTATGCTGCAGCTGGAGCTGCGTTCTGCTTCAGACTTTCCAGATCTAGAGGGTTCTTGGAAAACATGGGCTCTGAAAGGCACGGAGCCAGAACAGAGAACATGCACCAGTCAGAATGCGCAAGAGAAGCTGCTCTGGGAATGTGCGGCACGGGCATCGGTGGAAGGCCACTGCCCATAGCGCAATGAACGGTAACGCATGGTGCCCGCAGTGTGCGGCCAGCACCTGGTGCACAGAGGCAGAGGTCCGAACCTTGCTGGAGACCATCTTCCATCCTGCAACTTTCCCATGCTGTTGCCCATGCTTGAATGCTTGCAGTTGGATGCATACTGCTCTCACTTCAACAAACTTGGCCCTTGAATACCATGGCGAACCACACTATGATCCCGAGAACTATTTCCACGTCAGTGATCATTCCAGCTTCCACGCCCAAAAGGAAAGGGATGCCAGGAAGGCCAAGCTTTGCACGGAAACCGCGTTGCGGCAGTTGATCGTCCCATGAGCGACAAGAGGACTTTCGTTATGACAGCCTTGCCGCAGTCGTTTCCAGTTTCCATGGGCTCAAATCACACCGACGGTGCTTCCCTGCCATCAGAGCATAAGGAAGAACGAATCTTTGCGATACCTTCGGGTACTACAGGGCCTGCAGGGCTTAAAGAACCATCTCGCTCGCAGTCCTCTGCAAAGACATCGGAGGCATACCGTATGGTAATTGCTACGACTACGAAAAACTATTGGTCTTTGTTCCTTGTGAGTGGCATTCGTGGAGTGGCTCGATGATGATAAACGTATAGGCCGTACAATCAAGGTAGGGCGCTTTGAATTTCGCACTGCTTGACCAACGTTGAAGGAAACTGACCAATGATTCAGGGCAAGCGCACCGGCTAGTGGCATGGGCTTTCCCTGTGCAGCTGCGTGATTCTTGATGCTGGGAGCGGAGCCGCTATCGTCTGCATATTGAACAACCAGTTCCAGGAGCGTGAGTTCTGACACCAAATAGACCCAGACCCATCGGTGTTGTGACGCTTCGTCTGCTGCATTCCCTTCGAGGGTCTGTTAGTATACGAACTATGGGATGAAGGGCCGTTGTTGGTCTTTCCGACGGACTTTGGGATCGACGGATGACCCGCGCCTGTGCCCGTTTTTTGTCAAGCTAGTTCGTATAGTGGCTGGACCATCTTCATGCAGGTGCCGCCTACAGTGAAGTTTGGCTCTTCATGTTAATCGATGCACCACCAGACCCCCGGAGGTAGCTCGCAGCAATCTGGATGCATCTCGCTACCGTAGGCCAGATTTGAGGACTTCTAACCCAAAGAACCCAAAACCCCTTAATTAAGGAATATACCTTGAATCATAATATTAAGGCCCCTACAATCTAAGGTATATTCCTTAATTAATGGGATATTGGGTTCTCTCCTAATTCCAAATTCGCAGAGCGATCCCGGACACCGCTGCTGTCATGGCGAGCTCGATTCGCGTGCGGCTGCAACACCACAAAGACAGGCTGGGACTCTGGGTTTAGGGTTTAGGGTTTAGGGTTTAGGATGGGGGCCTTCATATTATGGTTTCGGCTATATATTCCTTAATTAAGGGGGTATTGGGCTCTCTGGAGAAGAAGGAGCAGAAGCAAAAGTACAGATGACTCTTGTATAATTTTGTTGTAGTGTAGGATGCAGACCGAAACCACGTGCGAAAAGCCACACCCATGAACACCCTGTGATGGGAGTTGGCAGGATGTAGGTGAGAATTCACTAATGTCTGAAATCGCAGTGCCTCAACTCCAAACTCAACGAGCAGGCATATGGGTGAAGCCGTACATCATCGAACAGTGACCCTTGACGACAGCAGCAGGTTTGATCTGACAGTGCCAGCCGATGGCAAGGTGCAGGGCACCAAGTTGGCTTCTAAAGCATGTCCAGTGTGATCGTTTTTTGAGCGGCATATGTATTGAAGGTGAAAGAGGCCGCTGTCCAAATTCAGCCGCTAGGTCTCAGCTGAGAAGTGTTGCGAGATGCTCGCTGTTGATCCTTTCGAGGTCCGAATTGTCGGTGGCGGTGGCGGAGTCTACAGGAGTAGCACCGAGCAGGCGTGAATTGCCTCGACCGGTGCTTCATGCAGATTCGTAGTCTCCATGTTGACTGTTCGGAATTTCGTTCAGGTTCACCGCTTGATTTAATAATTAGATTATAATTAGCATCTAGGCATAGGCTGTGAGTACCGCTGTTGCAGGAACCTAGGGCAATGTAGAGAGTGAGCAGGTGCAGTTGACAGTGCGTCTCAGCTACAGGCATAGACTATAGACTTACAGACCCCGAAAGTCGTGCAGCATTTTCATACATGTAGCCCCTGCGCAATTACACCATAACATTTCTCACTTGTAAATACTCTGTTTTAAATATCGAACCAAGGCCCCTTAGCAGCCTTAGCATGAGCCTTTATACATTATAATTAATTACCCTATAAGTGCCTACGAAATCCGCAATATCCTGAAGTGCTGCCCATGCACAGGCAGCGGCTGATCTGCCGCGGGAAGGTGCGGTGACAGCCTGAACCGTATAAGACTTGGTCATGTTATAAGGCCTAGCTGTTTGTAGCTTTTTTGTGATTTCAGTTTCCGTGTCCTAAATTGGTCTAGACTGGATGAAAGTTTTAGCGATTTTCAAGTTTGAGAACAATTATATTATCATTCCGTGCTCTCTGGTTAACTTACAGTCAATTAATTCATCATATGCTTGCTGATTCTGAACATGTCACATGGGTCTCGGAGTGCCGACGACCTTCGTAATGTGGAGTGGTTGCTTAAGCTGACCATTGAATAGCTCTGCCTGTGTATACCAACTGTGACAACAGTCGCTTGTTTGGCCTTCGTTGATGTTGCTTGCAGGTACTCACTGACGCATCAACAATGCTCAGCGACTTGCTTCCAAAGGCGCGCATCCATTTAACGGACTTTTCTGCCCTCACAGCAGAGTCCGAAGCCAGCGTGCATCTATTGTCGGAGTGCACCGTGAAGTGACATTCGTCCTGTTCCTTCTTCAGGCTGGTAGTACAGAAATCTCCGTGATGCTGATGCAGAAGGAGAGCCAGACGCAGCAGGCAGCATGCCAAGACCAAGAAGTCCGATGTAGACACAAGCTGACCCATGCGCGGGTTGTCATAGGGGGTTGACCCTATAAGCACTGAGCCTTACACCGTTAACCACCAACGAGAAGGCTTAAAACCAAACCCCTAAACTCCCAACACAACAAGCCTACACACCTGCCGGCAGATTTCATTATAGTTCCGCGTTTTGGCTAGCCAATTCTTACGGTTGGGATCCTATAGCGTAAGTTTGCTTGACCAACAGTGGGTTGGGGTTTCAGGGTCCGGGTGGCGCGAGTCCACAGCACACTCGACGCCTCGGTTCCTGTCTTGTGCAAAGCCCACATTTATGTTTGGAACAGCAGAACCTCAACCCCAAATTCAAACTGATTGGGCTCCTGGCTGCTTTGTCCTTTGTTTGGAAGCTATTAAACCTCTTGTAGTCGGACTTGTTGCCTGGCATCCGCGCCTGCCTAGTGCGAGCGTGAGAGTCCTAAACCTGTAGGCAAACCAAGCCCTCATGGAAAAATGGCGATCTGGGGGTTTCCGAAAATAGGGGACCCTAATATAGTACCCCAAATAGTAGGATCCTTATTATAAGGACCCGCAAATAAGGTACCCCTGATTTTCGGAAACTCTCATCTGCCGCTGAGGCTCAGAGGCGCTGGAGCCAACTTCGGCACGTGGCCATGGAGTGGCTTCTGACTATCTGGGCCGGAGGGGGTTTAGGATTTAGGGTGTTGGGTGGGTTTGGAGTTTGATAGTTTTGAAAAGTTTACAGAAGACTGTAGGGATGTTTAACGTTGAAGGTGACTGTCTGGGCCGGAGAGTTTGGAAGTCATGTGGATGGTTCTCGAAATTTAAACCCCCGAAAGAGCTCCAAACACACGTATAGCTTGTCAAAATGAATTCAAAGGGCATCCAAGGGTTTTTCGGTCTCGAAAATGAGCCCGTCAAATCGGCCAAAAATTGAACATCGAAAACAAAGCCCAAGAGAAGACACTGGGGCCTAGGGAATGGCTCTCATGTGCGTAATATACCTGAAGCAGGATCAGCCTTACGAAGTGCAGCGGATTTTGGTAAGGCACTCTCTCCAAGGTCTGTGCATCTAGGCTTCAGCCATGGGCTTAGGTTTCTAAGCTTGGCACTAGTCCGTGTCACCACCTCGGGATTGTTAGCTTCTTGTTGGGGAGCTAATTAAAATCTTCGAAGGCGGAAGTTTGTGGGTTGCTATGTTGGATTCCACGGTGAGGGTCCTCTCTGTCGATGTTCACAACTCAACTTAGAGAGGCCAGTATATGCCCAGCACGTACCCGGTCGTTCCCAAGCCTACTGTTAGGATGGGCTTCCCCCTAAACCCTAAACCTCAAACCCTATAAACCCTAAACCCTATATAAACCCTAAACCAACCAACTTGAACCATTGGTTCCCCCTAAGCCCAAACCTTAAACCCTATAAGCCCTAAACCAACCAACTGCAACCATTGCCAGCTGCTCTGGAAGGCAATCCTGTACCGCTTCTTTCATTCGCTCTTCGCCCAACACTCAGCTCGCAAAGGGCAAAAAAGCTCCTCCCTGTTCCTTCGTCAGGCAAAGACTTGCGGCAAAGAGGCATGATAGTGTTAAAGCTGCTAAGGCCCCTAAGCCTGAAGCATCCGGCTTTGCGTGCCTTTCGCGATTGTATTGAATTGGTTACGTACTCTGCCACTTCCGAGGTCCCGGGCGCCTACGTGGGCAAGGGGCCCAAGGGTGGCAAGGCAGGACCCCGTGCTTGAAACATTGCATCCTGGTGAGATTCCGGGGCCGATGACAGGCTACTGCAGCGATACGCTGCACTACTAGTGACAAAGTTCCAGAGTTCGAAGTCTCAGACCCACACCATACCGCCCCAACCCGCAACCATCGCCACTTCTGTGCAACAAACACGTCGGAGGCTCGTAAGCCGTCGCAAGCACTTGCAAGCAAAACACCCCCAGCTCTCAACGTCGCGAAAAAACCCAAAGCCCGAAACCGAAAGAATACGAGCTGTAGATTGCCAAACCCAAGCCTTAAACCGCCCTGGACCAACCTCGATTCCAAAAACCCTAGGCTAATAAACTCGATTTTGAAGGAAGAATCCCTAAACCCTAACCCTAAACCCTAAACCCGAAACCCTAACCAACCCTAAACCGGTATCATGCTACTGTGATTATGGGCTATTGCTGCAATCTGGGGTGAAGGTGATGCAACAGGGACTGCACTTGTTCTGAAACAGAGAGCACTAGATTGATTTAGTCTCAGCTGATGGCGCCGCAATTGCTTTCCGCATCTGTACTTTCTTGATCTCTGTTGATATTAGTTCTTTGCTAAGCAGTTGTGGTGTTGCCCGGCTGAAATCGTAGCTGAGTGGAGACAGAACTATGCGGAGCCTTGCCGGCCTTGTGCGAGTGTGAGAGTCGAAACCCTAAACCCGAAACCCTGACCCTAAACCCTAAACCCTAAAGAGGCCCCCCATCACCGCACCGACGACCTGGACCCTGGAGACCTGGCCCGCCTGGCCGCCTGCGGCGCGGGCGGCTGAGGCTAAGAACCGGGCGGCATTGGGCCGAAGGCGGCCTCGCAAAGAGAAGGAACTACGGTTTAGGGTTTAGGGTTTAGGTTTTTGGGGGGGCAATTATGAGTTGAGGGAAGTGGTCTGATTCTGCAAAGTTTGTGGGGAAGAGACTTATTAGTAGAGTCTGGCGGTGCCATGCCAGAAGTCCATGAACCTTTGCTACTTGGGAGGGGCTCGGTGTCAGTGCTGAGTTTTAGGAAGCTCGTGGGCAGAGCTGGTACGTTCTGTCTGACTTGTACGGGCTAGAAGGCTCTAAGCGAACAAGTCAAGAACGGGGCCTCCAACGGTCATGCCGCCCAGCTGAGTTTCACGAGACCTCATGTGCAAAGGCAGTAGTTCTTCGCAGCAATGTCCTTGTCGGTAGCTGTAGCTACTGAGCAGAGTCAGATTTTTCCTGCGCACTTGAAGAGGTCAGTTGCCAAGACGGCTGCTCCATGATGATCATACTTCGCTTCTAAGCCATGAAGCTTCATGAATGTGATAGTTACCGGGCCTGTACAATTTAGCCCACCTTCCAGAGATTCATTTCGGGCTTCATTAGCATGGGCTACCCTCTCGGCTTGAAGTCAGCTCCGCTGCTTGCACGAGTGAAATCTGCCGGACGTCCAGCACACGAACGCCACAGTTCACAGCTGGCACTGCATGTTGAACCAACATACTAACTAATCCTCCAAAAAATAAATGTCACACGAATCGCGAAGCCCAATTAGAACAAATGCTTGCGCAGGGTCAATACCTTGTTCAATTTCGGTGTCGTATATAGGTCGGTCCACAGAACAGCTCAAGAACGTCTGTTCTGCAGAGTATGCGACTTGCTGCCTATTCCGACTGGTGCTGGACGATGAGCGGTTGAAAGTGAGAAGTGCGGCTGCTCAAGTGACAGGGCAGGGACCCTGACACACCGAAGACAACCAGAATACTGTACCAAACTGGAGGTTCATGGGTAGTTAGAAGTGGAGTTATAAGTCCCTCAGTATAGGTTGTAACTATAGTTACCCTACTTATAACCTTACTTATATCATTACTACCCATGAACCTCCAAGTAAGTATGGTCACTTTATTTATCACCCACTTATAAGGTTTTGGTGTACATTGTACTTTAATTATAAAAAGGAGCCCCCAAATTAGTATAGTTACCTTATTCCTAACTTACTTCACAGGCATTTCGGGTCAAAAAGGCTCAACCCTGCCCTGGTCCCCGTTTCAACGTTCCGACCTTGCAGTTGTGCACAGATTCCGTGGCAGGGCTGGGAAAACATGAAGGCGGTGCGGGTCTAGGGTTTAGGCTACCAGTTATGCGGTTGTGGCTACAGCATTTGAAACGGGAATATGCCGGCCTCAGTATTGAAGTCTTCGAAGGGCAGTGGGTTTTCGAAGTCTATGTCATGGAATTCATGTTCTTTCACAACGAAGTCATCAGTGAGTTTAATAAGGTGCTTACATTTCAAATGGTTTCCTCAGAGGTGTCAGTTCGCATGCTCTCCTTGCTGTAGGCTAGGGGAGCGTGAGTGTTGGCTAGACCGGGCAGCTGGAGAACGAGGCCTGTTGCAAAAGGGTTTAGGGCTCTTGCGATTCTACGGCATTGGTACTGCGAGGCTTTGTGATGAGCCAGGTGGTCGGTCATGCTGGCAGGAGTCAACTGTAGTAGTTGGTACTTGATGGGAGGAACTTGCGGAGCATTACGACACAATGCATGTGTGAGTACAGGGAGGGGGTGATGATGGCTTGGGTTCGTCGGTGCTCACTTGGATGCCAGCCGTGCCGTGACGTGAGTAGTTACAAGAAAGAACCTGTTTTCCACCATAACGCAAGGTTGAGAGAGAACATTCGTGGGGCTTTGGGGGAGTCATACGTCGTGTATTTTTTCCTGAGTCTTCGCTGCAGCCACTTCTATCCAACCTCGACCATCCCTGCCTCTCCGCCGGGGGCCACTCTGGGAAATGCCGACCTACGATGTTCTCGTGCCTGGGGCGGCCGGATTAAGGTTCAGGGGAGGTGTCCCTAAGGGTCCATGTACCCAAACGGTATATACTTTGGCCGTATAATGTAGTCACTATATAGGTACTCTAGGGCCAATGTTCTACTCTTTGGGCACATGGACCCTTAGGTTGTAGGAAGCAAGATAATTTCTGTACCATTGAGGGAGGAAGTTGTAGAACGAAGCCGACTAAGATCTCCAGACAATTTGGCATGCCACTCCGGCCAAACTCCGTTAGGGTTTAGGGTTTAGGGGTTTAGGGTTTAGGGTTTAGGGTTTAGGGTGCCTTGGATGTGATCCATATACACCGACACACAAGCTCAAGTGCTTCGCTCCTTCTATGAGACTCTTGTACCCTGGGCTTTGAATGTACAAGGATCGGAAGCCGAGGCTCTTGCAGAGAGTCATAAAAGCTGCCAACTCCCCAATATGTCCTTCGCCACATGAGCACTACTTGTTGGATTCGGATGCCTTTTGAGGTTCTGGGTGCAACGGGCTTCACCGGCCGCCTCGCCTGCGAATACTTGGCTAACCGAGGCAGCGGCGTCCCGGTGAGGTTTCTGGAGTCACGCAGGGCTGGCATCAAACTATAAACACTTAGCCTTACCATGCCTGGATCGAACACAAAACCCTCACCCCCTCATCAACTGCTGACATGGCATCCAGCCTGACCTTAAACCCTGATGTGCATAATCCCAAAAACCCTTTACCGTGGCTAACATTAACCCTTTTAGTAGCTTAAGTTGGCCCTAAACCCTAAACCCTAAACCCTTAAACCCTAAACCCTAAACCCTAAGCCCCTATAAACCTCTAAAACCCTAAACCCCTAAACCCCTAAACCCTAAAGCCTAAACATGCCTAAACCCTAAACCCCTATAAACCCCTATAAACCCCTATGAGCCCCTAAAACCCTAAACCCCTAAACCCCAAACCCCTAAACCCCTAAACCCTAAACCCTAAACCCCCTAAACCCCTAAACCCTAAAACCCTAGACCCTAAACCCCTATAAACCCTATAAACCCCTAAAACCGTAGACCCTAAACCGCTATAAACCCCTAAAGCCCTAAACCCCTAAACCCCTAATCCCTAAACCCCTAAACCCTATCCCTAAACCCCTAAACCCTAAACCCTAAACCATAAACCCTAAACCCCTAAACCCTAAACCCTAAACCCCTAAACCACTATAAACCCCTATAACAAACTAAAACCCAAAACCCCTAAACCTTGCCAGCCTTGTGCGAGTGTGAGAATCGAAACCCTAAACCCCTAAACCCTAAACCGTGAGAGGCGGCGAGAAGGTGAACTGGGCCATGGCTGGGCGCAGCCTTGACAAGCTGGAGAAGATCCGCAAGGTTGGGTTTAGGGTTTAGGGTCTATGGAGTTTTGGGTTTAGGGATTTTGGGTTTAGGGTTTGGGGGTTAAGGTTTAGGGTCTAGGGTTTAGGGTCTAGGGGTTAGGGGTTTAGGGTCTAGGGTTTAGGGGGTTTGGGTTCAGAGTTTAGGGCTTAAAGTTTAGGGTGGTTGCGAGGGCTCTGGGCTTTGAAGGTCGGTTCTCGGGGGGTTTAGGGTTTAGGCCCTAAACTTTAGGGTTCAGGGTTTAGGGTTTAGGGTCTTTGGCGGGATTTAATACCAAAGTTCTCTGAGCTTCAGCGATTTTGTAATCAGCTTCGAGATTGGAGAAGCACGCAGCGTGTTGGCACCATTAAGCCTTGTCAGTTTCCGGCCACGTGGGAGTTTGGGATCCTACTATTCCTAGACCCCCCAACTACCCCCTATCATACCCCGAATACCCACTATTCAGGACCACGAGGTCTCTATTAGAGGGCCCTCGGGGGGTGCTGGTTTAGGGCACTATATTAGGGTCCCCTAGTTTCGGAAATCCACATGTGCAGCGATGGCAGGAGCTGCCAGAAAGCGCAAAGGACACGCCCTTGGTGAAGGCCCTGGGCTCACCCAGTAACGTTCGTTATATATATATATATAGAGGGGCTTCGACAATTACCTTATATTATGTTTTGGGGCTCCTTAATTTTTAATTATAGCAGAATGGGCCCCAGAACCCTATTCTGATTATTAAGGCCCCTACATTATTTAAGGCCTTTGCTGCTGAAGATTTACTACCGTCGGTGTCAAAGGCCGTTGGCGTGCGCGGTGTTCGGGGTACAGCATTCGAGAAGACGCGATAAGTGCTGTCACTAGTTGTTCCAGCATGCTTCAAGGATGTAGTTTCGCCGAAAACCTTCGGGGCAAGCATGCCGCGCACGTGACACGGTTCTTCTCTTTCAACTACTGCCGACCATCCTCACATCGGAAGCGAGCTCGTCTTTGGCTCGAAAGCAGTTTTTGAGAGCTCCGAAGGCGAGGCATTCGGTGGATGCAGGGGGAGATTTCTCAAACTGGGCCTCGAAAGCTTCTTCCCACGGTTCAGTCCGAGTGCAGAGGTTGAGCTTAGTTAGGTCTTATCTAACGGGTTCACAAGGAACAGAACCCTAAACCCTAAACCCTAAACCCGAAACCCTAAACCCTCAAGGGATACAACAGCGTGTGGGAGTTCGGGGTTTGGAATCTGGGCTGGGCATTGGGCGATCCGGAGTTGCAAAACTATTCGTATGCGTGGATGAATAAACGGTTTGTTTGGTTGAACGGTGGAGTGCTGACTGAACATATCCCAACTTGGAGGTTCATGGGTAGTTATAAGTAGGGTTATAAGTAGGGTAACTATAGTTATAACCTATTTTAGGGGACTTATAATTCTGCTTATAACTACCCATGAACCTCCAAGAACTCCATCTCTTCGGTATCCAAGCTTTCCGAGCTTCTGAAGGTGGATGTGAAGAATCCGGCGGATCTCGAGGACTGTAAAATGTGCAGATGCCTAGGGTTTTAGGATTTAGGATTTTGGGCGCAGTACGTAGTTGCAGGTGGTATCTTGCAGGCACCATCAGGACTGCTTTGGGCTTGCAGGGATAGTAGGCATCGCAAGGATTTGCAATGATTGTGGTACCAGCAGTTCGGTCAGCTACCAGACCTTTGTAGTTCTGCAAGATGTCGAACACGCCGGCAAGCATCATCCTTCCCGAACTGCTGTACTTTCGATTTGCGGAGCCTTCGTGCCTGATAATGGGCTATGACACTCCCTGTAGCGCATGTGGAGTGATCAGCCCTAGAAGACGACCTGGGAGTAGTTTATGCTTCAACATCGAGGTTACTTACTCGTATCAAACCCTGGCCAGAATCAAGACTTGGCGGACATCGTAGCTATTCCAAGCCCTGGGAGAACATACATTAATGAGGAGGCCCAAGTAGGACAGGCTTTCCTGGGACTTTGTATGAAAGGTCCAACACCGCTCGAATTTCCAAATCCCACGCTCTGAACTTTCCGAACTGCTGTTGGCGGGCGGGCGATGCAAGGGATTTTCCACTTCGGCGGGACGTTTGTTCAGATCCTTCAACTTCCCTTGTCGACATGTCCGGGAGAGTATGCCAGTCGACTGAATCAACAGGCTCCAAGCGTATCTCCAAGCTTCGTAGAATCGATGCTACAATCCTCAAATTCAGCTTACGGAGCCCGATGCCAGCCTGTGAGTACGTTTTCAGGTAATTTTTTAGGGCGTCTCAATGACGGCCACAACTTAGTAAGGTCAATTTGTTTGAACTGTGTCTGCCTTCTGCAGGAGGCCGCGAAGAGCTGCAAAGTGATCATCAACTATGCGGGCACCCCATACAGTGACAAGGCCCTGCCGAACCCCCGGGCAAGACGTAAAGTACTGGGGCATCCGGCAACGTAAACAGACCCCCCCTGCAAGTTGATTCCTGCGGCATTGAACTCAGAACTCGAGATGTGCTCCTAAAGCCTCGCAGAGGTCCGTGTTCATCAGTTGTGTATTTATGTAGGATTAAGGTAATTTTAGGGGCTCTTGAGAGCTATAAGAGAAGGGATTGACGACAGCGTTTGCAGGCGCTGCCGGTGGTCGAGGCCTGTGTCAACAACGGCAGCTGCTACATCGATGCCTGCCCCGATGTAGTCATGAGTTTTGAAGCATCTTGAATCTTGAAGCAAGAAATCCGGCCGATTACTATTAGGAGCAAACAATCATAGAGCTTTGTGGGGTAATCGCCAGAAGTATACCCGTGTGCGCCGAAGCCTTGCCGCCCAAGTAACAGTGGAACTTGCGGTCCTCTTGGGAACGCTTCTCGGGTGGGGTTTAGGGTTTAGGGTTTAGGGTTTTGGGAACGAGGATTTTATGTCAGCCTTGTTTAGCATGTCCCCGGGTGTTGTGGGCAGGCTGATGTGCTGTGTATGTAGAACGTCGCGGCCTTCTGATCTTTATGGGGCAGCATAGGCTCAGAGGCTAGCCCATAGGCGCTTTGGTGGATTAGCCTTGAAGAAGGACAGACCTGACATCGTGATTTCCTAGGTCAAGGATTTGGCAGTTGTGTTGGTGATTGCCCGCGTTGACACCTCAGCATGTCAGTTTAGAAGTCTTTTGCAGCCGAAGGTTGAACGATGCATCGTGTTGGCAGTGTCTCCGATGAGGGCTTGTTTTGTATTCAGGGTTAGCAGATAGCTCTAGGGGCAAGCCGATGCCGCTCTGGGTCCTGACTGGTCCTGTGCCAAAACCCTGGGAGGATCTAGAACCCCCAATTTGGGAACCTATACTACAGAAGGATACTTTATAGGAATGCCCTTCAGGATCTACTCTTGGGACACTCCCACGGGGCTGGGTGCAAAAAACACCCAGGCTTAGGCGCATTCGCCTGTAAGGACATCACAGGCGAGGTGAACTTTGTGAAGTCATCGGCCGACCGCTACGACGAAAAGGCCAAGGAGAAGAAGTCCCTCGTTGCAGCTTGGATGAAGCTGAGACAGCCAGATGTACAAAAGACATGGGGGAAACTCAAGAGGGCCGAGTTTCGGAGGGTGCTCGGAAACAGAGGCATTGCAGGGCTCAGAAAACCAGAAATTTCCTCACGGCACAGCCCCGTTCAGAAACTTCCTGGGCAGTGTCAGCTACCTCACGAACACAGAGACTCCAATATCCCTTAATTAAGGAATATACCTTAAATTATGGTAGGATCCCTAATATGATTTTAGGGTATATTGCTTATTGGAGTCCTCAGGATCACAGCTTCGGTTCGAGCTTCGTTCTGGCACTTCCGGGCTCACGTGATGAACAGGGTTTAGGGTTTAGGGTTTAGGGTTTAGGGTTTAGGGTTTAGGGTTTAGGCTTTAGGGTTTAGGCAGAAATTATTCGCCACACACAGTGTCTGTCTTCGAGGCAGAATGTGAGATCACTGAGATCCTTCGGATTCTCAGGCTTTCGGGCGTCAGACTGTGCGGCAGCACCAGTGCTGAAAAGATATCGTCGCCATGCGAAAAGGCTGAAAGTCACTTCAAGAGATGTGTCCCACATGGTTCTGCTGGAGTCTGCCCGTGGACTCTGAATTAAGCGCAGTATCTCGATTTAGAGACCCTGTTTTAATTTACGCGGAGTCGTTTGGTACGACCATATAGCCTGACAACCAAAAAATACAATTGAGGTCGTGATATAGAAGCCTTAACCTTAGAATTGCCCATCGTAGTCCCTATAGGGTTTCTTAACCATAAGTGTTGCACTTCTTAAATACGCCCCCCCCTCCAACAAAAAAACTTATTCTAATTAGTAAGACCCCTACAAATTCTGCTTTGGACGAGTCTTTGAGGTCCACTGCTGCGGCTTCGACAGCATCCCTTCCGATATCGGCGCGTTCCTGGGCTCTGCTTGGCGGAAAGGTTTGAGTGGTCACGATGTCAATTGAGCTGTTTGGTGGCGCAGCCTTGATTTCAGGGTCTAGGGTCAGGGTTCCTCACGGAGATTTGCGATCAGGGAACAGGGCGACAGAGTTTTGGAGGCGTGTTAGACTTGGGCGGCTGGGGCTTGCAAATTATCAGTCTTTAGTGTCGCTATGTATGCCTGTATGCATTTCCATGGGTCATTTCCGCTTTTGTACACTTTATTGAGTTTGCTACCCTAAACCCTAAACCCTAAACACTAAACCTTGGTGTCGCTCCTGGGTCTGAACAAAGGCCTTCAAGACAAAGCCTTGTCAGGCTATCTCTACCAATCGTCTCCATTGTAGTCAGTTTCTTTGGGTTACCGTGTAGGATCCTAAATATAGAAATGGTTAAACAAAAAAGCAAACTATTATGCATAATAGGCAGTACAGGCCCTTCAATGTAGCACCTTTTAGTGGAGGACTTCTGTTAGGATCCTAGAATAAGAAACTAAGGAACCCCAAAAAAGGTACTACATTCAAGAGTCTAGATGGTACACTTGCGATCCGGTACCCGGAAAAACCCTAAACCCTAAACCCTAAACCCTAAACCCTAAACCCTTAAACCCTTAAACCCTAAACCCTAAACCCTAAACCCTTAAACCCTTAAACCGGAAACATGATGACAGGTTCTTGGCCGCCACGGAGATGAAAAAGCGCCACTCCTCTCGGCGAGCTTTAGGGTGCAGGGTCTACCTCAAGCACACATACCCTACCTTTTTCAAGGTCTTATATAAACCCTAAACCCTAAACCCTAAACCCGAAACCCTAGTTCATTGAAAGGTAACCCCAGAAAGGTAGGTTCTTTGGGGTCCAGGCAGGGTTTGAGGGTTTAGGATTCAGGACTTCGGGAGCCTTGGGGGTTGAACACGTTGTTCTCTCTCTCGCTCTACACGGTTTAGGGTTTAGGGTTTAGGGTTTTGGGTTTAGGGTTTAGGGTTTAGGGTTTAGGGTTTAGGGTCCGTGTCCGAGTTTGTGGGAACCCAGCGACCCATACCCTTGCATGTAGATTACATCCCAGAATCGGTTTAGGGTTTAGGGTTTTGGGTTAGGGTTTAGAAGGTTCCCGCTAGTTATGGCTCGAGTGTTATCCTGCAGTCGCGCGGGTTCGGGCACGGGTGGCAGTCGGAGAGGGTCGAAGCATCTGTGCATCTTCGCAGCAAGGTCACAACATGGGCTGCGCCAGAATCCGCACTGTCATTGGAGATCAGAGCGGGGACTTCAGCGGAGGCACGCTGGAGAGCGGCGACCCGGAAGCACATTAAATTTCACTCCAGCGCTTTAGAGAGTGTGTGTGTGAGCGCCTTAGAAATGTATAGCTTCCTATATGTACATGACTGTACAGGTTTAAATCCCATGCTCACTGTTTCATGAGGGGCCCGAAGGGCTGATCCTCATGCGTTGCCTAGTGCTGCTCGACCCTTTGGATGCAACAGCAGAGACAGAGAGAGAGAGAGAGAGAGAGCGAGGTAAACGACTCCTTAGGGGTATCAGTGATTGCAGATGCACTCCCGATTTAGAGCTGCTCTCAAGCACTGGGCAAGGTAGCCCTTGCCCTCTAGTAAATCCGTGAAGGAGCATCCCGTACACTCCCGAAAGGTCTTTATTCGATAGAGTTGAAGAGCTTCCAGCATGTTCTCGGGAAAAGCGACCACGGCTTGCCCACCCGTGTGGAGCAAGGTGCCTACATGATGGACAACCCGAACATGGAGAATGCTGACGTCTTCCAGCTTAACCACAAAGAGGGTCGAGGGTCCATATGCAATAGCATTCCGAATTTGCTCCCCCAAAACCAGAGCTGGAACGGTCTTTCGGGTCCAATTCCGAAATGGTGGTGCTACTGATCCTACAAAGGGTCGCTACCCTAAACCCTAAAGCCTAAAGCGTGGATGGGAGCGCTAGGCACTCGGCGGGCCAGAATCCTTCATGCAGGCGTTCTCAGCCCAAGAAAACGCACGAAAGCCCAATCTTCAAGACAGGGAGGGTCAAGGCACCTTAAAGGGTAGTGCTCTAGGCCCTGTAGACTTAAAGGTCCCAAATCCCTATCCCACTGACTACTTAAAACGCAAACCCAAAACCGTAAGATAGGTGCCGTTGCTGGCTGGAGTGCCAGGAGAAAGGGTGACTAACATAAGCGGCAGTGCCAAGTAACCCAGGCGCCGTAAATTACAAGTACATTCCGTCATCATGGGATGCTAAATTGCCAGAAAGACCGGAGCACCCAAATCGCAAGCAAGCTTTTCTTGCATCCAAGAGCCCAGAGCCTCCCCGGAAAACAAAGAAAAGAAGCACAGCACGACAAGGGAAGCCCCGCCCAGGTTGTCCAGATGGAACCATGAACGGAAACCCGAAACCCCCAAAATACTAAACCCTAGACCCGTGTGGAGCCTTGCCTGCCTTGTGCGCGTGTGAGAGTCGAAAGCCTAGACCCGAACCCTAAACTCTGAAAGCACCACTGTGCGAAGCTTGAAGACCATGGTTTGCAAGCCCGTCTACGCCACAAGCATCCTCGACCCACTTGGAGCTTCGTGGGTAGTTATAATAAGTTCGGCTATGAGTCCCCTAAATATCGTTTAATCACTGTAGTTCTCCTATTTTAAGTTATATAAGCCTACTTACAACTACCCATGAACTTCCAAGCACGAACACGGAAGTTTTCCTTTTGAGCCCCAAATCCGAAGCCCTAACCACCTGAAGTCCCTTAAGCAGCTGAGGCCATGAACCCTAAACCCTAAAC